TGCTAGTCTATGAAATGGTTACCACAAAGTAGATCATTTTATTAGGTCAAGAAAATTAAAGAGGCTGGGTCCCTTATTGGAGAAGCAGGTCTACATTTTCCTTTATTTGGACAATTGTCAATTTTTTTTATGATTATAGAAAGACAATTTCTCTCAGATATTCTTTGATCCTATTTAGGAATCTTTGGTGCCTCAAATAAATAAGGAAGTAACATTTTAATTCATTTTGTTAAAACTGAAAGTTTGAAAGAACTAATGCTATGCCTAGCATTTAATTATCAGGGAGTTTTTGTGGTCACTTAATGAAGTTTTCAGGGAAAATGAAGTTTTATTTTCTTGGTTTCAGTGTTCATGGGTTAAATCCCACTAAATCCTTGGGGCATGCCACAGTCAAATTGTATTGGTTTGTGTAAGATCTACTTCTTAAACTATTAGAAGTGCAGCAGTCAGGTTGGCTTCTTAGTCACTTCAAGTTGTCTGTAGTAGGAGTATTTGTACCATGAAAATTGTCAATGTTACAAACTAGGGCTCTCCCCTGCCCCCAACTCAAAAAAACAATTTACAGAACTCTGCATTGCTGATACTTTAGAGGATGATAATGGGATGTTGCTAAAATGATAGGAGGAATGCAAAATGACTAAATTATCTTATATGTTTAGGACCTTTAAAAGTCACAGATTTGGGGGAATAGAAGAAAAGATTTTTAAAAAATGAACCCTAAGATATATATTTAAATTTTTTTCTTTCATGCCTTTGTTTCTAACACATTTATAAGATTATTTCTTTGTTGCTTTTTATGTCACTCCCCCACAGTATAACCCCTGCTTTCACTGTATTTGATGTCGGTATAATTTGTGGAGGGGAAGGGGAAAAACAAGTCATTTAAATAAGGATACAGGTGGACCCGTTGCAACAATGAGAAGTACAAGTTGTCATGTCGAAAACGAACTTTACAACTTTGGTGGGGGGGGGAGGATTGGGTGTGGGGTTCGGGGGTGCCTGGGAAGGGATGGGAAGGGGAAACAAAGGAGGAGGCTACAATGCTTGATAAGAAATGTACTCATTATCTTGCCCATGTAATTGTAACCCCTCTGTACAGTATTTTCACAATAAAAAATAAATAAAAATTAAGATCTCTTAAAAAAGATTGTTTATACACAGAAGCAGATAAAGAAGATAAAAAAAGGTCATGATCTTTATGTTTACTTCTTATGCCTCTGGGCTAGGCAAGGCCAGAGCAGGCTTCTGTGTTCTTGAAAAATATTATTGAAAGTATGTACTTTGGGTTTGGGCACAGAATCACCTAGTACTTGGGATAGCTGCTTTCCCTGGCTCCCATACTAGTAACAGCGCAACTGAAATTACTTGTATCTTCCCAGCTTAGTTGCCTTGAGAGTCTTACACTACTTCTTTGAGGAAACAAAACAACCAAAGAAGAGGTAGCTGGAGGCCCTGAGTAGTTGTAAAGTAGTGTTGGAAAGCCAGTGGAGAGAATGAATGACAGCTGACCTGAGGTTCTGAGTTCTCCATGGGAACAAACTGAAAGGAAAAATTACACAAAGATGCACGGATTTGGGTATGGCTCACTGAAAGAGGTTATTGAGTTGCACTACACAGAATCACAGGATTTCCATCTGGCTTTCAGGTAGACTTTAGACACAGATTATGTGTGGCATTTAATTGACAGTATCTATGTGGTATGCCATAGGTTGTACAGCTCACTGGTTTATTTGTGTGTGTGTGTGTGTGCGTGCACCCTACACATATACTGTGGTCAACATATGGCTTGTGTAAGCTTGGAAAGCACTATACCACTGAGTAACATCCCTAGCCTGAAAATTTAGTTTAGATTGACACAGGTGCATACATGAGAGCCTTGTTTGTTTTCTTCAGAGACTTGAGCTTAAATGTTCTCCACTGAAAATTTGGGAAGCAATAGCATCTTGTAATATGCTGGAACTCTGTGTCACACACTTGGAATTTGGATAATTCTGAGGGATTATCTTAGAAATCATTGCTTTGCCTCTTCCTGATGTCTTGATATTATGGGTTAATATGAGTGGAGGGAAAGTGACTTTCTTCAATCATCTTTGGATAGAACGAATTATTTTCTTCTAAGAGGGCTTTATTTTGAATCTTAGCACATTTATAGGCTTCAGATCTCTAATCAAACACTAGTATTTCCCAAAGGATAAAATGTTACTAGTGGAACCACAAGGTTGAGGTCCTGGGTTTGTAAGATCTAGACTTTATTATGTTAGAAGTCATTGGTTAACCTTTTTTTGATCTGCATTAAAAATAGTAAATAGAGAAGACATTACAATTTAGTTCCAGTGATAGTACAATTTAACTCAATTCTTTTTCTAAGGTTTTTTTTTATTATTATTATTATTTGAGATGAGGACTAGAAGTCGGTACCTGAAGCTTTCGTTCATTAGCTGGCACTCTATCACCTAAGCCATGTCTCTAATCTTTCTAGTGAATTTCTTAATGATCAAGAAACTCTGATATTTACAAAAAATATAGAACAAGAGATACTGGGAGTCAGTCTGAATATACTGAATATATTGAGATTAGTAATAAGTAAGAAAATTAAGGAGACTTCATGAAATGGATGGACACAATTTTTCCTTCTTGTTTTAAGGTCTGAAGATAAGCAACTTTTTGAAAAGTGGGAACTTTAAACAGAAGTTAAAACACCCATTCTTTAGTCATGAAAGTAAAGAACTGTCAAATTAAATGACGTCTCATGAGCATGAATTTTTAAGTAGAGAGCATCTGAAAGTTCATAACAACTTAAGATATATCCCATCTATTCCTAATGTGAGAATTCCTGCCTTTAGCATAAACTACAAGCCCTATGAAAACGTATCTATTCAATGTTTCTTGTATCAGTAACAATCAGCTAGTGTAAATTAAATGAGTCTTTTATTCATTTTATTTTCCCTAAAAGCACAATTGCTTTTTCATGAATTACTTTCAAAATGGAAAAATTAACATAAAATGTATGGCCACTATAGAAATCTATAGATAGAAATGTAGGAAAAACAGAAATCTGTTATCCAAGGCACGAAGCCGTAAGTTTTTTTTACTTGCTTTAATAGTATTTCAAGTCTTAATTTGATGCTATTTAACCCCAGTTTTGTGACTGTCACCTTTATTTCTCACTGACTGCTCTTCAAGGAAATTGTATTGTTACTAGTCTTCGTAGATGAATCCATTAGTTTTTAAAAAATTACCATTTTTAGAGATTGCACAATGAAGTTTAAAAAAATGTAAGGTTTTAAAAAACATTTCATTATGCACCTACTTACCCTATAAACTATTCTGAATCTTGTTTTCACTTAAAATATTACTATGTCCCCATGCCATTAATATTTTTATAAATGTAATTTTAATTGCAGCATTCACAGTGCACTCTAAGATTATTCTGCATTGTAATGACTTTTAAATTGTTTTCATCCTTATGTAATCTTTTTATAACTCAAAAGCAAATCATTATGAAACACTGTACATTGTAGCTAGGCCAGTTCTCTGAGGTCTAGGTGAGAAGTCAGTCCCAAATAGGAAGAGACAGCGAGTGCTGCGGCAATGGTTACTTCTGTAGGTCATGTTCCTGAAAGCCACTTGCTGGATCAGTCTGTACTAAGGCCAGCTTCTATTTAGATATATTAAATTACAATTTTCAATAGAAAATATCAAATATATTGCTTCCTTTTTATGTTGGTAGTGACTTGGCTTTCTTCATATTTGGTTTGTGATTTGTTTGATGATATTCTCTGTTCCTCCTGAGAAAATATCCCTTCAAGTCTCTTCCTCTTTAAGTGCTGTCTTGTTAGTAAGTAGTTTGACATTTCTTACTGATGAATAAAATTATCATCTTTTTTTTTACATTCCAAAAAATCTTTCCTGGTAATCATTACATCCCAATTATAGACTTTGGTTATATCTTTTTTCTGACTGCCTATGTTTAAACACATATCTAAATCATGGCATTCCAAGTATCTGGTTTGATACAATTTTATGTGTCTGGTCACCACAAATTAAGATGCTATATGAAATAATATTCTTGAAACAAGCATTAAATGTAGATTAACACAAAGCTGTCACATTTCTGCCAGTGGTTCTATTCAGCTAATTAGATACCAATTGTTTCAAAATTCCATCCAACACATTTCTGAAGTACCCATATTATGAATGGCCACATATCGGAAATTGTGTATGCAGCAGAGAGTAGATTAAAACTTTCTTCTAATGTAGCACACAAGATCTAATAGCAGAGGAACACAAAAGTAAACAAATCATGATTTTTTCAATAATAATAAAATACTTGCCTTGGGTTCTTTTGTACAAAATTTTTTGAAATTAGTTCCCCCTATTTATCTGTATGTTTTCATATTCTCTCTCTCTTTTTTTTTTTTTTTTTGGTCATGGGGCTTGAACTCTGGGCCTGGGAACTGTCCCTCATCTCTTCAGCTCAAGGAAAGTACTCTACCTACCACTTAAGCCACAACACCACTTCCGTTTTTCTGGTGGTTAATTGGAGATAAGAGTCTCATGGACTTTCCTACCCATGCTGGCTTTGAACCGCACTCCTCAAATGTTAGCCTCCTGAGTAGCTAGGATTACAAGTGTGAGCCACCAGCATCTGGCTCATATTCATTCTTAAACCACATCACGAACTTCAATTGAAAATGTTTGGCCAGTAGTTTTCCCACAGCGTTTGTGGTTAAAGAATTTATAATACATAATGAAATAGCATATTTTTTGTTGTTTGTTGTTCACTTGGTTATTAAGTCAGTTCCTTAAAGCAAATTTTGTCTGTACTTTCCTATTTCCGTGGTACTACTTCATTCTCAGGTCTTTCTGAAAGTTATTCGACTCCTAGCAAGAAAAGGCATTTATAATGTGCCAGAAGATTGCTTGGCTCCACGAAGCCTCGCAAACTATCAAAGAGTCTGTCAAATGTGTCAGTAACTCATTTTTTTCTCTCGCCTTAGGTCCAAGGATCTTATAAAGGAGGCTATCCTTGACAATGACTTCATGAAGAACTTAGAACTGTCCCAGATCCAAGAGATTGTGGATTGTATGTACCCGGTGGAATATGGCAAAGACAGTTGCATCATCAAGGAAGGAGATGTGGGGTCACTGGTGTATGTCATGGAAGGTATGGTTTGTGCCCTGGATTCTCTGACTTTTAAACATTTCCTTTTCATCTTATCAGTTTGCACACAGGTCTCAATGTAAAACATGGGGCAATGCTGTTTTCCCTTCTTTTGTTGAGAAACAATTTGAAAACAGGTGAAACACTACTAGAGACAGTGAAGTATGACACTACTAATTATGTGAAGTGTTTCTGTTTGGAATATTAATATGAAAGTCCAATTCAGACATGGGCAAAGGTGATAATGTGAGAAACAGAGATGCTATTTCTTTCACTGACTCAGATGGCACTTTATTAGGTCATTGAGAGCATTTATAAAGTTTCAGTGAAAGCTCAAGTAATTGGAAATATTTTAGCCAGGTAATCAATGTAGCTTAAACTCTGTCCTTAAATTTTAATATATGGATGGGCGTTGTTGTCTCAGGCTTGTAATCCTAGCTACTCAGGAGGCTGAGATCTGAGGATACCAGTTCAAAGCCAGCCTGGGCAGGAAATTCTGTGACTCTTACCTCCAAATAATCATGAAAAGCTAGAAGTGAAGCTGTGGTTCAAGTGGAAGAACACTGGCTTTGAGCACAAAAATTTAGGGACAACACCCAGGCCCAGAGGTCAAGCCCACGTACCATCAAAAAATATATGTATATATGTACGTGAGAGATTGTTCTATAATATTTTTGTATTTTCAGTGTACTCCTAGAAACATAATCATAAACATCGAATGCCATTTTAGCTGCCTAATTAGTAGAAGTGATAACTTGTTTTATACATTTTACATGAACTGTGATGAAATAGCTTTGAAAAAAACCAGAAGTATGTACGAGGTAAATGTATTTGGTGCTCAGGTAAATTCTCATAATGCTTCTTTCTAATTTGGAATTTATAATAGCATGTTTTCATTTTGTGAGAAGAAAGAAGCACGAGATAATGCCTGAATCAGCTAAGAGAAAACTGAGTTCAGAAATGGGTATGATATAATGTAATGGCCACACCAAAAGAATAGTTGGTTTATTAGGGGTGATTCATGTTTCACACACAGAAGTTATGTCAAATGAGTCATGACTCATGTCATTGTATAATTGTGAACTTTGTGAAGGTCATTAAGAGACAAAGCATATGTGAGCAAGTCACTTAATTCCTCTGAGTGTCACCTATCCCATTTTTTCAAAGGAAGATATTGGTTTTTTTTTTCTGCCATTGGTTCCTCAGGAGAGATTAGGCAATATATAGAGGCACTTTTGGCTTCATATTTAGGATGGGGGTTGAGGAGAGTCCTGGTTTCTGATGGATAAAGATTAGGGATGCTACTCAAAAGGCTTGTTACCCTAAATAAAATACTGGTCCCAAATGTTATAGTGCCAACACTGATGAACTCTGCTTTCTTCCTGATTTATGGGATTGTTAGGAAGTTCAGTTAGGATCATTTGCATGAATGTTGAATGTAAGGTAAAATCCATTACACAATATTAATAAGTATTATTTCTATTAATAAGCCATATTCTTGACAGACTATAAGAAATGTTCTTTGTACATTTCTTATTCACCCCTTAATTTTTATTCATAGTCTTTGTAGATGTACATTAATTAAATGTTTTAAAACATTTTCTGTTGGAAACATTTTCTATCTTTCTTCTTTTTCATAGTTTTCACCTACTGTTTCAACATTATAAAGGTTTTTTCCTTTGTCCAAAATGATATGAATATTTAAGTAGACTTAAATACTGGTGAAATGAAAATACAATCAACAAAAATATAAATAATATACACTAGTCAGATAATTGTGGGGCATAGGGCAAGACATAGGTAGAAAATGAACAGGATGGTGGAAAAATAGAGTTTAAGTATAAATTATGAAAATAGAGACAAATCTTCAAGGAACTACTAAAATTAGAAGTAATATCTAAATAACTTCCTCTGATTATATATAGATGTATAAATGTATATAGATACACACAGACACATACATATGTGTGTATATATATATATATACACACACACACACACACACATGTAAAAAGAGAGTGAGAGAGAAGCAGGCATCTTAAGCTATTGTATAAAGCAAGGTGTATTTCTAGTTTAATTGTTTTAAAATGCTGATTATTCCTTTCAAGGATGTAAAATGTGACAGCAGTGGATTGTTTCCTTTCATCTTGAATATTTCTTATGAAAATAGATTTCTACAAAATCTTGTAAGCCTTAAAACTGTCCATCTCATCCCTGTTTTGTAGAACTAAATGCACGTTTTGTAACTATATTAGAAGAAGCTTGGAAATCATTGTTAATATTCACTGTATGCTTAGAGCAATGTCCAACATGTGGAGCATGTTTTGCCTAAATTCTTTCCATGTGTAAAATTAATCAATTCCTCAATATAATTCTGTAAAATAAAACCTACTATTTATTATATCCTTTTTAAGGAGGAAGAATTTAAGGCTTAATGATATTTCATAATTTGCCCCAGGAATTTTTTCACTCTTTCTTGGTAGATTCAAAGTTATACCAAAGCAGTCCATTCAGAGTGCTAGCGCTTAGCCACAAGGTACGAAGAACTGATGCTGAAATTGAGTCTAAAGATGGCTGTAGAATTTCCTCTATCTAAGGTGAGCTGTCACTCTTTAAATTCAGCCTTCAGCTGATAGTATAAGTTCCACATTATTGTAGGCTAATCATCTTAACTTCCTAACTCCAAGCCTACTGCTTTAAATATTAATCTCATCTAAAATACCTCTACATAAACATCTTACCATAATGTTTGACCAAGTATTTGGTATCCTGAGCTAGCCAACTTGATACTGAACGTTCACCATCCCAAATCAATCCCTTATCATCTTGGCACATACATACATGCCATCTTTGTAAACTACGCTTAAATCTTCAAATTAATACAATAACAAGGGCAGGTTCTACATGACATAATGTAACTACTTGGTACAACTGAAAATGTAGTAACTCTTTCCCCAGAAAAAGATACAGAGCCATTGTGTGATGTGATGCTTTTTAAACTCATTGATATACCATAGCACAAATACTCTGATACAAATTACTACAATGTTATAGTCAATAATGCTACAAAAGATAAAAGAGCCATATTTTTTACTCACACATACACAGAAATATATTCATCATAAAATAAGAAAGAAGTAGTTATCAGGGATTAAATTGCTTCCTTGGGGAAAGGTAAATATCCTAATATATCACCCCCCATTTCTTTGAGCTAATTTTACTAAACTTTATCCTTTTCTTTTTTACTGCTAAGATATCAAAGTAGCACATCATCCTAATTAACTATTAAGAACCTCATTTTAATTATCCTTTTTAAAAATAGGGTTCTAAATAATACATCAACATTCCGAGTTATGATTTTACTGAGATGCTCTTGATTGCCGTTAGTTATACTTAATAAAATGATCATAATCTTATCAACTGATGGAAGTTCTAAAAAGCTCCATAGAACATTTCCTATTCTTATGCTTTTATCTTTATGTCAAAATAAACATGGTCATTTAAAATTTCATAAGTTTTAATTGAGAAAATATTTTATCATATAATGAGTTTTTAAAGCAACACATTCAGTTTTCAGAGTAGATAATAAGCTTTTGATATAGACGAATTCTTTTCTGTCATGAGCATTAATATTTATAAACAATATAGCATAGAACCAATGGATGAATTTACTATAAAGGATTTCCAGAAACTTACTATCAAGACATTTCAGTAATACATTCAAGTGGTTTCAAAAAAATCAGTCCAATTTTTCCTATCTCTCTTCAGCAAAATAAAGTGTTCTTCACAAAATGCTTGTGTAACATATGCTTTAAGTAATTTTTTAAAAGTCTGGGCAATGTCCCAAGTGTTACTGCATACCTAAATGCCAGAGTTTAACAAAAGAGAATAGTCATATGGTAGAACTTTACTAATTAGGATGGCTGGGAAAATCATCTGGGAGTAGTGTGCATATATTAACATGCATTTTCTAGCAAAACAAAGTCAGTTGTGTTTCTTTCAGTTTCTTGCCTAGTAGAAGTTTCAAATTTTGATCAGTTTTTTGGTATAAGATTCTCAAGACATTACTGTAAGCAAACAAAAATTTCTTGTCGCCTTTAACATTTTAATTATGTTTTCAAATATATAAGTAGCTCAAAGCATATTTGATCATAATTTATTTTTCTAAACTAACAGATATTGGTCTTATTTATGACAAAATATCCACTATTATCCTCTTTCATTTTATATAGTTTTAAATTTTAGTTTACCTTCATTCAAAATGAAATTCCATTGTTCATTATTTCATTCCTTCCTTCCTCCCTTCCTTCCTTTCACTTTCTTTCTTTTTCTTTTTGGCAGTGCCATGGTTTGAACTGAGGATCTGGTTCTTTACCACCTGAACCATGCTTCCAGTTCTATAAATTCTGAAAGCATTAAAAATACTCCAGAGAACTGACAATAGGCAACCTTCGAAAATTATTGTCATCTTAAAATGAAATTGTTTCAATCAATCTAGATAACCATAGAAGCTATCCAAGTTTAGGGAAATATAAATTGTTCTAGCTGTATGACCAGTATTTAACTAATTTGCAATGCTCCAAAAGTAAAATGAAAAGCTTTATATGATAGCAAACTTCCCAACTTAGGATGAATTGTAGCAATGAGGATATAACACCTCCTTAGAGAGAGTTTTGTGGTGGGTCAACAAGGAATTCCCTATTATGAAACTATAATGTATGTCTTATATCTTCCCCAAACTGCAGGCTTATGAATTGTAGGTCTGTGAACAGACCTCAAAGATTTCCTCTTGAAGATCCTATTTGTAATGCACGTGTTTCATTTTGAATGTTTAAAAAGTTTATATTCATCTAATAATCCTGAGCAATTTCTTCTGCCATTTAATTTTTGTTTTGTATTATGTGTCATTGTATGTATGTTATAGTCTATGTATTTTGTTTATCTTTTTGACTCTTCTTGGTATTTGAATTGTTTCTAGTTAATTTGCTTTACACATTGGTGCA